GCGAGAGGGAAGCCGCCGCGGCAGCGCCTCTGCTCGCAGGGGCCCCCGGGCAGCCCGGGGAGGGCGCCGTCCGCGCCCCGGACCTGGATTCTCTCTGGGACGATTTCTCCCGGAGCCTCGCCGGCGACCACCGGGAGCTGCTGGCCTTCCTCGCAGGCCCAGGGCCGGGGCTGCAGGCGGAGGCTCAGCACGAGCTCGACGTGGCGCTCAGGACCGTCATCCCCAAGAGGAGCCGGCGCTGCCCGCTCGCGGCTCCGCGGAGAGAGATGGTGGCGCGGGGTAAGGGTGTCTCCGATGGCGGGAGGCGTCCAGACCAACCGGCCGGCGCTGACGGGGCCAGGACAGACTCCCATCAGTCACGCACTGACAGTGGGAGGCGGCCCAGGTGGCTCCAACTCCTGGATTTGTGCCTGGGCGTGTTCAAGAGGGGGGGGGGGGCTGATGCATGTGAAACACACGGGGGGTTGTTAACTGGTGCAGGTGGCAGTTAGGTTCCTAAACCCCCCAGCCCCCCCCCCCCCACACATACACACACACACAGGCGGAGAGGCGGGGGTCGGCCCCTTCTTGAGGTGTGGGCTGGAAGATCGATTCTTTGTCGTCTTGCGATCCCTCAGGCAGGCACTTTAAAGGGGCCTGGGGTCGTCCCAGGGATGCAGCCCCGAGCTGCTGGAAGCCGTGTTAGCGTCTGTTGAGATGTCCATGGGCCAGCGTTGGGGCCAGTGGAGAAGGGCTCGAGGAGCCTGCTGAGCTGGGTGAAGAGCATGGCTAGACGCAGTTAGGTTGACACGCACTGGCTGAACCTCAGGTCGGTGGGAAGGCACATAAGGTGCCTGCGGGTCCAGTTCCTGCCCTGTCCTAGCGAGGTGGCAGGTTTGTTACTGTTCCGTGAGGGGCGCGTAGAAATGTGTGTCCTTAGCGCAGAGGATGGGGTGTGGACTGGGGGCGTCTGGAAGGCTTGGGGGAGAAGGGCAAGGCACAGCGGACGCGGACCCACAGGTAGGAGCGTAGCAGGTGAAGCGATGCGGGAAAGGCCGCTCCTGGAGGAGCTCGCTGAGCCGCCTCTGGCTCTGGCTGCGGGTCGCGGGGCCCTGCTCACGCTTGGGATCTCTGGCGTCCCCTCTGCGGCACCGCTTCCGCCTCCAGCTGGAGAACCCGGGCCTCCGCCTTCAGGGCTCACCCGGCCAGATGGAGCCCGCCTGTATCTCCCTCTCCTCCGTCTGTAGCCTGAACCACATCTGCCAAGTCCCCTCTTTGCCATGTAACACGTGTATGTAGTCACAGGTTCTGGGCGTTAGGGTGTAGACACCTTCAGGCCGTGGTTCTGTCTACATGCAGCAATACAGAGTGGCTGGTAGGTGTGTACCTCCCCCCCCAATACTGTGCCTCTGTGGCCCTAAGACTTCCAGGTGACCCCTCCTCCGGGAGGCCCTCCCCAGCCCTGTCCGGCTGGGGCAGGATAGGAGGTCTTCCAGCTTTTATCAACTTTCACATTTCACCTCTGCATCCTCAGATTGGCTTCACTGAGGAGAGGCCGGGCTGAACTTCTTTCTCTTCGTGAGTGTGGACCCTGAGAAAGCAGACACCTACTAAGAAGGGCTTCTTGTAGCTAACGGGGCTCAAATTAAAACACAAAAACAAACCAACAAAAACAGATCCTAGCAGCCATTTATAGGAGTGACTGTATTCTGACCAGTCAGGACAGTGCCTTTTGGACCAATCATACTGTGGAGATTTGGAGTCTTCATTTGTGTGGCGAGCCGGCACGGCCATGGCGTACTCAGCCCCCCGTTGGGCGCCTTATGTGCCGCGCCAGCTCAGCCAGGTTCGGTGAGCCTGAGAGGGGGCAGTGAAGGATGGAGAAAAGACAGACAAGAGAAGAAAGCTAGGTCTCGGTGGGACGCTGTCCTCTCTGATGGAGAGAGACAGTGCCACGGACTACAAGCCGTGTCTTTATTTTATAGCCAGATTCCATGAGGCAAGGTAAGGGCGTGGTCAAGATGTTTACAACATTCTCATGAGTTTCGATCCTACTCAACTACATGCACCTGAACTCTATCAAGCCCACATCACTCAGGCACGTGGGGCCACGTGTTCGGACCATAGGTTCAAGCTTACAACCACAGCTGTTGGCTATAATTGTGCTGGGAGGGCTCTGTCCTCCAAGCTGGGACTTGCACGTGGCAATGACAGGACTGTGCCCTCTCATTAGTCCGAGGCTTGAACCTGTCCAAACACTGTAGCCCCTCCCCACATATTTGCATGAGCCAAACACTATAGCCACTGCCCACACATTGGCATGAGGAAAGACCAATCGGGGACCAGGGGCGGAACTTCTGTCCAGATAAACCAGCTCCCGGTGGTATTGAAAGCCACTTTCCCCTTCCACGGAAGACACTTCTCCCTGCCTGAGCAGAAAGGAAAGCCAGCGCAGCCTGAGGCAGCTGGGAGCGGAGCAGAGCTGTCTCGTGGGGCAGGGCCTGGCCCAGGGCTGCCTCACCGCTGGGCTGGGTCACTACTGGGCGGTTTTGCACTGACCGTTTTCCTCCTCCGTTGTACCCCAAAGTGGGGATTGCTGCGGTGGACTGGTGCCAAGGACCCCCCACCATTGATTGCCATGCCGCTGGCGCTCCTGTCGCCCTGTCAGGGGGGTGAGGGCTCCTCCTGCTGGCACGGGTGGGCTCGAGGCCGCAGGGAGCAGGACAGGAGAGCCTGCCTGTCCTGGGCACCGTTGTCCGTGGGGTGGGAGCCTGGCAGACAAAGCCCAACACCCAGCTCGTTACTATTGCGAATGCAGCGTCTGTTAAGGCCGCTCTCATCTTCTCTATCGTTTCTTCCCCAGATGTCCTCAGGGGAACTGTCACATTTTTACCTTTGGAAGAAGATGACCAAGGCAGTTTGAAGGTTCAGATGAGCAACGTGTATCAGATTCAGCTCCGCCGTGGCCGTGAAGAATGGTGAGAGCTAAATATTGGCTCCTCCTCCAGTGCTGCTCCAGGCCGCTGCGCGACCCGGGCCAGGGAAGAGCTAGCTGAGGGGCTCTCAGGGTTAGGGCTTGTGCGAATTGCCTTCTCCTGGCGTTTCCACACGCTTTGTTCCAGCTGGTGCCTGGCCTGCGTGTGGTCACGGCCTGGTGGGAGTCGTGAGTCCCTCCGTCCCATGTAGCACTTACTAACAATGAGTTGAAGTAAACTCAGATCCCTTTGTTATTTTATTTCTTACAACTTGGTAATGGAGAGTGAGTATAAGTTTGTTTATTTCTTGCCAAGGCCTACGTGGTTTTAGATATAGTGGGTATTTAGTAAGCTTGTTAATGCTGTGCCAGGAGCTGGGCAGAGCGCGACAGCACAGGTGGGAGCCAGGACCTGGCCGTGTTCTGGTGCCGGAACACACCGTGGGCAGAGGGGCCTGGGAACTGCGCGGGGCCTGCGAGTGTGCCCGTACGCTGCGCTGAGCTCGCGGCTCTCGGGCCAGCAGATCCCTGCTGAGCCAGCGCACTCACGTGTGAGTAGCCGTGTGGGAGGTGTGAAGCGCAGCAGGGCCAGGCGTGTCCGTGGGCTGTGGCGCCTGTGGCCGGTGCTGCAGTCGCAGGGGGAGCGTGGTTCATGGCCTAGCCTCCGGCGGGCTGGTGGGGGTTTAACAGTGTTGGCAAGAGAAGTGGAACTCTTTCTGCTTAAGTGTGTTTTTCTCTGTCAGATGAACATTCTGTAGCGTGTTCCCGGTGGTTTTGTGTTTGGGTAAAATATTTGGTAACTTAGCTGTCTCCTCGCTCCTTTGTTAGATAAACAGGTAACTTAAAAAGAACTGAAACCAGCTCTGCTTATTCGTGTTTCTCTTATTTTTAAAGGTTCATATCTGTTTTGATTTTCTGTCCAGAAAGATGGCAATCGGATGGGACTGTGTATCCCAAACCCGCCTGGCTTGGGCGCGAGCTGCCGGCCAGGCTGGCCCGGTGGTCTGTGGCGAGCGAGAGCAGTGGCTTCAAAAGCACCCTGTCCCTCCTCCCCATCCTCAAGTACAGCCACACCTACCAGGAGCTCAAAGACAAGTACAAGCACATGGTCCAGGTAATGCTGGGACATTGACCACGTGCGCAGGTGGGACCGCTCCTGGGCGCGTTCCCGCTCCCCCAGGTGCAGACACTGTCAGGGCGCCCGCCTGACCTTGCGCAGCTGTGCCCTGACGTGCTTAGGGCTGCAGACCACAAAAACGGCTGCAGCTGTATCGTGGAAAGCAATGTATTTACTTTTTGGCACATGACTAAGTTTTCCCCCAAGAAAACAAACGGGAAATACTAGTATTTAATTTTAAATAATTGAACATTAAATTAATTACTAAATCACCATAATTCTCTGGTTTGAACTTAAACGTATTTTAAGAAAATATATGAAAGTTAAAGTACAAAAGTACATCCTTACAAAAAGGAGGTAACTTTTGTAACGTGTCCTTAACTTTCTAAGAAGTAGAAAGCAGGTAAGGACAAACACAGGTGTTCACATGAAGCTTAACACATTGCGTACCGCATAGAAATCTCTAAGACATACGCCAGGGACCGCACGTTTTTGGGCAAACTGCATGTTATTTAAATCATCATAATGCACTTTAGGTGTTGTTTTTCAATAATTATAACATTTTCATTTTCAAAAACAAACAATTAAAGTTCCTAGTACTTTTTTTAACGTACGGTACTGCGTAAAACATTTTCCTCTATGAAGAGGGACCAAACAAAATTTACATAAGTATCTAGATTCGCTCCTTTTTCCATGGGCGTGAAAAACGAGAACACTCGTGAGCGGTCCTTAACAGATGGCCCTCGAAACACGAGAAAACTCCTGAGCGGTGCGAAATGTGGTAAGAAGTACAGCATCATTAGGGAGTTGAGCCTGCTTTTTACTCTTCCCCGTTCACATCTCCCTCCCTCCTTGAAGTAGCTGCGACCTGTCATTTCCGTGTGCCTTGTGCTGTCAGTCACCTGTCGCTGTGTGACACAGCACCCGGCCCCGGCTGGGCAGCACCCTTCCTGCTGAAACGTGTACAGGGTCTGGAGCCCAGCCACGGAGTCCTGGGTTGTCATGTTAACTGCGAGTAAGGTACCTTCTCGGGGGCTTTCATGCTCTTCCAGTTTTAGATGGTTTGTCCCGACCGTCCGGCCCACCCTGCTCTGACTGGAACAGAAATTGGGATGTTGAACATCAGCCATTGCCTTTTCATCTTCTGCCAGATGCCTGTTCTGCGCATTGTTGTTGTTGTTTTTTGTTTTGTTGTGTTTTTTTTAGAGACAGAGAGAGGAAGGGAGAGGGAGAGAGAGGTAGAAACATTGATGATGAAAGAGAATCATCAGTTGGCTGCCTCCTGCACCCCCCTACTGGGGATTGAGCCAGCACTCTAGGCATGTGCCCTGACCGGGAATCGGACCCGTGACCTCTCAGTGCATGGGTTGATGCTCCACCACTGAGCCACACTGGCCAGGCCGTTATGCACATTGTTCATGTTAATAATGAGACCCCTGCTTGCACATCCAGGGGTCATCCTGTGGGGTGGTTGAGTTTATTCCTGCTTTACAGACAGGGAGGCAGGGACAGAACAGCTGGGAGGGACGGTCAGTCCCTGCAGACCGAGGGAGCACTGGTCCTGCCCCGGCTCCTTGGCTCCCCATCCACCTCGCTTCCTTGCTGCTCATCCTCATCTGAAGAAGGGCCAGGCTGCTAGCTGAGTGTCCTGAGGTGCCCAGGGCCTCCTCTAGTTATCTGCGTGCCTCGTCTTTACTGCGAAACCTGCCTGGGATGGCCTCGCTCTGGCGCGTCCTGTGCACGGACACGGTTCTGGGTGTCTGTACACAGATGTCTCACTGCCAGGGCCTGTGAATTTCTGCCTTGGGAACAAGTTTATGTTTTAAATGTTATTGCGTCATGAGTCCAGTGTGACTTACGCCTTGTGGCTGTACTAAGTGTTGAGACATGGTGGAGGCGGAGAATGACGTGTGTCCTCGGGGACTTTTTCAGGTGTGGCCTGAAGTGACTGATCCTGAGAAGTTCGTGTATGAAGACGTGGCTATTGCTGCCTACCTGCTGGTAAGGACGCTCCTGACCGAGCGGACGGGCGTGGGGGAGGGGCCTGGCAGGGGCTGCCAGACCCCCGCTTAGGGTGCTCACCCCTGGGCAAGGCTGGTCGCACACGAAACGTTCACTTTTACTAGTAACTTGCCCGAGGGTCGCAGCGGGTGCGCTGGGCAGCCTGCCTGGGACTCAGGCTGAGCAGCGCTTCCGTGGTAACAGGTGCTAGCGGAGCGCTGGGCGCCCGCTGAGGACGCGCCTTCCGCCCAGGCTCGGGTCCTGGCTGTGGGCGTTCCTGACCGGCTTCTCCCCACCTGCGTGTGGACGTGCCCTGCCTCGCTGCTCTTGGTTTCTTACCTGTAAAGTGTTTAAACTAGGCATCCTCCAGTTTCATCGCAACCGTAATTCTTAGTCTCTTTAGAAATGGCATGGTTTTGTTTGATTATCGTTGTGCACAAAACTTGAAAGAACACAGAGAAAGCAGGAAGGAACTACTCTCAGGCTGCCCAGGGACAACCCCTTTAATGTGGACTTGCTGGCAGGAGGGAGCCCTGCCGCACGCAGCACCACCCGCGCCCACCCACCCGCACCTGCCCGCCTGCGCAGAAGCCCGGAACCTCAGAGAGGCCTCCCACCCGCTCTGAGAGTGCCAGTCGTCACGTGGGGCTGGTGTCTGAGTTTCCGGGTTAGAGTGACTTACACACAGACTTTGTGTTTTCTATTAGGTCCTATGGGAAGAAGAGCGAGCCGCGCGGGGCGTGACAGCGAAGCAGTCCTTTGTGGACCTGGGCTGCGGAAACGGCCTCCTGGCACACATCCTGAGCGGGGCGGGGGTAAGGGGGCCTCGGCGCACATCCTGAGCGGGGCGGGGGTAAGGGGGCCTCGGCTCACATCCTGAGCGGGGCGGGGGTAAGGGGGCCTTGGCGCACATCCTGAGCGGGGCGGGGGTAAGGGGGCCTCGGCGCACATCCTGAGCGGGGCGGGGGTAAGGCGGGCCCGGGGCCTGGCGGCGCCTTTCCCAAAGTGTCCTCACGCCCGGCACAGGCTCCCTGAGCGCTTCCGGTGCTACCGAGGCGAGCGGCCTGCCGTGGGCACGGGCTGGCGGCCATGGCGTGTTGCCGGGCAGGCTGTGCACAGGAAGGGCGGTGTCAGGGAGGTGCTCTGGGGGCAGGCGCGCCAGGAAACGTCAGGCTTCAGCAGCACAGGTGTTGCTGTTGGATGTTTCCTGCAGGAAGCCCACCGTTTCAAGGCCTCGGAGGGGCAAGGGCAGGGCTTCTGCCTCGAGAGGCTGGAGTCCAGCGCAGGACGGCCCGGGCACTACGCTGTGAGCCCGCGGGGCTCGCTGGCCGCCACTGCCTGGTCAGTGAGGTGCAGGCGGTGGCACTTAGCACTGGCCACGGCACCCACCCCACTCCTGCCACATCTCTGCCTGCCCGGCGAGTCCAGCGCGCTAGGACGGTCACCTGGTCCCCCGGCGCAGCTGGCTGGGCTCAGCAGCCTCACACTCAAGAGTCAGCTGGGATTGGAAGCCCAGTGCTGACCCCAAGGCTGACGTCTGTCCACCGCAGCCTCTGCCTTGCGGGTCAGACATGTTTGTCCTCCCGGTGGGGCTGGGACGGGGCTTGTAGCTTGTACTCCCTGAGCTGCTTAGAAGAGTAACCGATACTGTAAACAGGTCGCTGTGCGTTGGCCCGTTCGGTGGTGACCCGGAGGTGGTGGGTGAAGACGGGGGGGGGGGGGCGGGTAGGGGTGTGAAATGCGGGTGCCTGTGAGGGCTCGAGTGTGGTCCCGGAGTGCGGTCGCTGTGTGCCCGGTGCCAAGCCACCAGGATGGGCTTGGGGCGGGGGTTGAGGGATGCGAGCTGGACCAGGAGCCAACTGAGGTCTGAACCCGACGGCCGAGGTGCCTCCCTTTCCAGGCCCGTCTCCTGGGCTCCAGCTAGGGCTGCTCCTTCACCCCACCCTGTCCCCTTGCTGAACCCGCAGAGCTGCTCCTTCACCCCCACCCCCATCCCTGTCCCCTTGCTGAACCCACAGAGCTGATCCTTCACCCCACTCCTGTCCCCTTGCTGAACCCACAGAGCTGCTCCTTCACCCCCATCCCCTCCCTTTGCTGAACCCACAGAGCTCCTTCACCCCACTCCTGTCCCCTTGCTGAACCCACAGAGCTGCTCCTTCACCCCACTCCTGTCCCCTTGCTGAACCCACAGCAGGGGCCGCCGGTGCCTGGCAGGGGCGCGTCTACATTCTGAGAAACTGAGCTGTCGCATCCAGGTGTCGCGTGGGTCCCTGTGCTTTCCGCTGACGGCCGTACTGCGGGCTGTCACTCGTCCTTGCTCATCTGTTTTGGTGACAGAACTTAACCTGCGTTTTCTGACACTCAGCATCCAGGCAGAGGGCTTGATGTCCGAAGAAGGAAGCTCTGGGACGTGTATGGGCCGCAGACGCGCTTAGAGGTACTGGCTTGTTCGTGCCCTGCCTCCCCGTGGCCGTCCCCTCGTCACGGCTGTTTGCTGAGTGTGTTTCTGTGTGCAGCCCAGTCGTGCTGCCCACCCGTTCACACCGACCCGATTCACCTGAGGTTTAGGAAAAGGTGAACGTTTGGATTTTTCAAAGCCTCTTGTGCAGCTGGAGAGGATGCTGGCCTCTGGGGCTGGAGGCGTGTCCCTGCGTGGGGCCTGCCGTGGGGACCACATCTTCCGTGGTGCTGGGAGCTGCCGGGGGCAGAGGGCAGCTGGTGAGGGCCAGGCGAGGGTGGTGAAATGAACCTGGGCTGGGCCCTGTGGAGCTGGCAGCCGCTTGCTCTCAGCCGTCTGGTAGCCGGGTCCAGCCCGTGACCGTGGGCTGAAGTTCCCAGGTCACTCCATCCTCCGCCAAGAGCCGCTGGTGCTGGTGCCCACGAGAGAGCACCGTCTCCTGAGGGCGGAGGGCGGCCCCGCAGCAGCGCCCCTAGCAGCTGAGTAGCGCTCTGGTGTGTGGTGCTCGCACGACGATGACATTGCCTAGCGACACGTTGCTCAGGACACGTTTTGTTGTTATAACAAAAGTAGGGGGCAGTGTGGCAGCCAGGACCTCTCCCGGCGCTAGCTCCCTGCTTTGAATGAGGTCTCGGGCACATGGTTGCATTTGGGTTTTCTCTGCCTCCCTTTCTTGTAGAAGTCGAGGGTGATGCTGCAGACATTGTCTCATGTGGATGCTCTGCTCGTGTACAGGGTTGTGTTTGCTTGTGTAGTCCCACATCCTAACACATTGAAACGTTTTAAACTCGGGTCTGAAGGGGTCTGAGTAACACGGTTGAGTTCAAAATTCCCCGCGTCCGCAGGCCAAGGGCAGACTCCTGCCTGCGGGTGAGAGGGGCAGGCAGCAACAGGCCTTGGTCCGAGCCAGGACGGTCTGTTGAGCACAAAGGCTGGTGTTGAGAGCCCTTAAACCGTAAAAGCAACCCCTCGAGCTTAACTTCAGAAACGGCCGGGATGTCATCATGCCCGTCGGGGTAAGAGGAGGTACCAGCATACGCCGGGGCTCAGGGCATTGGCACGTGCGGCAGCTCACGCGGCCCCCGTGGCGCCCTGTGTGTGTGTGTGTGTGTGTGTGTGTGTGTGAGTGAGTGAAGAAGCGCATTTTCAATGGTCAAAAGGAGACTCGCCCGAGAACAGCGTTGGTTTCTCTAGTGATGGCCCTGGAAGAGCCAGTATTTCGTGCCCGTGGGGCCGACCGCAGGCAGGGCCGTGCAGTCCTCACTCCTGGTCCTGGTCTCACCTTCTACCCAGGAGCTCAGAGCGCTGAGCCCTGCCGGGCGGGGCAGTGCTTCTGCGGGGCCCGCCCACCTCTGCCTCAGCTCTGCATTCACTGACCGGCCTCCGGGTCTTCCTCTCAGGAAGCTGCCATCACACCGAGTGACGAGACCCTCTTCCCTGACGCTGATTGGCTAATCGGGAACCACTCCGATGAGCTGACCCCGTGGATCCCTGTCATCGCGGCCAGGTGAGTGGAGAAGCGCAGTCGGCAGGCGCCTGGCTGGGCTGCTGGTGCCTGAACCTCGCTGGGCAGCAGTAGCCCCAGTGCACGTGGCCCTTGAGCACTGACGTGCAGCTGGTTCAGCTTGTTGGAATGAGATGAGAATATCGGGTAAATCTAGAATTCCATCTAGTTTACTACTTGAAATATGGGGCCAGAGAAAACTGTGGCTCACACGCTGTTCTGTTGGACAGTGATGATCAAAACATTCCTTCTATGATATTTATATCCAGTGGTGAAAGATGTGTCATTTTTTCTGGAAGATTTTTTTGCTTTTTGCTATTTTTTTTTTTATAAGAGGAGGGTTTATCTTCAAAGGAAAACCTGTCGGTGCACAAACAGGTGGCAGCAGTCACGTCTGTCTCTCCAGCAGCGTCATGCATGTCAGATGGCGCTCACCTGTGTCAGAGGAGACCTTTAGGCGCCGGTTCCTGCTGCCTGTTCTCCAGCAGCTTGTGAACCGTGCCAGCTCTCGGTCTTGCCCGCGCTGTGCCCGCCTCCCATCCCCGCTGCCTTGAGATCTTGGTGCCCTGTACTCGGTGCGGGTGCGGGTGGCAGAGCAGCTGGAGTGGGAAACCCTTGTGTGGGAGTCTCGCTGCGTGTCTCACTGGGAGATCCGGGGGCTGCACTGTTTCCGGGAATCTCACTGGGGAGGCTGTGCTTCACTTTTTATGTAAAATAAAATGCGCCAGCAGCAGGCGTCTGTTTTCTGATCCACGACTGCCACGTGGCCCTCTGCTGAGGGTTTAATGAATGGCCACGTGGCCTGCTGAGGGCTCTGTAGTGAATGGCCACGTGGCTGCCTGCTGAGGGCTCTGTAGTGAATGGCCACGTGGCTTTGGGCTGGGTTTTCTCTGATGAACCTGCTGAAGACTCTGGTGTCTGCTTGTGGGTGTTTGAAGGTCCTCCTACCGCTGCCGTTTCTTCGTCCTCCCCTGCTGCTTCTTCGACTTCGTTGGAAGGTACCGCCGGCGGCAGAGTGAGAAGACGCAGTACCGGGAGTACCTGGATTTCATCCGGGAGGTGGGGTCGGCCTGCGGCTTCCACGTGGAGGAGGACTGCCTGCGGATCCCTTCCACCAAGCGCGTACGTCCAGCCCCTGGTGCCTGGCGGGCGGCGGTGGCGCTGAGGGGAGGGCTGAGGGCCAGGTTGGAGCCGTAAAGGACACCGGTGTTGGGAAGGAGGGTGTTCCCGAAGGCGCCGTGCCAAGCGCACACGCGGTCATCGCTGGGGCTCCGGCGTCTCCACCCTCCCTCCCCGGGGCAGGTGTCCGCGGGGCCCATGCGGAGACCTCTTGGCCTGGGCAGTGTTGTCTGAGGCTCAGCACACTCAGTTCTGAGTCCTGGATTCGCGAACAATTGGCTGACGTTAAAGGCTGTTTAGAAGCTCAGAACTGTTCAAGGTTTTCTTATTCAGAGCCTCACCACTTCAGATTTACCTGCAATGTGATTGGCCAGGGCGCCCTCCTGTGACTGCCAGGCGGTCAGGACCGTGTCTTGGAGGCGGCGCCCACCGGGTGGTGGGAGGGCCCCCGCGGCTCCGGGTGCTCACTGCTCAGTCCACCCGTGTTTCCTGTAGGACTCGTCCTTCTCTCACTCACCCCCTCGTCGGGCAAGTCAGTGTCTTCTGAGGTTAGAGGTGCTGCAAACTGAGGTTTGGGTCGTGTGGGTGGGCACGAGGGTCCCACAGTTTGATTTTTTATTACTTGTTCCCCTGCATTTGTAGGCACCTCAGACTATTCCCTAATCTCTCAGCCTCGGTGCCTTGTGACGGTGGTTTGGGATCAGATGCAGGAGTGGATGCGCACTCAGCGGGCTGATCCTGCGCCAGGCGCCCGTTTCGCACAGGGACGCGCCTGCCCGTGGCCACACGCGCTGCAGGTGGCGGAGCTGGGCACTGGAGGGGCTGCGATTCCTCACGTTCGCTTTCTCGCCTCGCCTGTCGCCTGGCTTTGTAGTTGGTGCCCAAGGAGGAAGCACAGACGCTGTTGGGCAGCGTCCCTGGACGGCCTGGCGCCAGGGGCTCCGAAGGGCAGGTGGCCTTGGTGGGCAGGCGCGAAGGAGGGAGGGAGGAGCCAGGTGGAGCATCTGCGCTGGACTGAGACCGATATAAAGACGGCTCCTCCTGTCGCTCCCCGAAAGCTCTTAGGGTGACCTTCAGGGACTGGGAGTGGAGGGGGGCTGACGTGGGCGCAGTGTCTCAGGTGGGTGCCCTTGGGCACAGTGATGCAGCTCTCGGTCAGCACGCAGACGTCTGTTCGTCCCGCGCAGATCTGAGCACGTGCGTCCTCCTGGGCTTCCGCTGCTGCTCACGGTCAGGGCGCGGGCCCTGTGGTGCGTGGAGGAGGCTTTCTCTCCCGAAGGAGAGCGGCTGCTGCTCACGGTCAGGGCGCGGGCCCTGTGGTGCGTGGAGGAGGCTTTCTCTCCCGATGGAGAGCGGCTGTTCTGTGACTTGCGCTCCTGAGCAGGACCGAGGGTGCTGAGCAGGAGGTGACTCCCCTTCTCGCGCAGGTGTGCCTCCTGGGGAGATCCAGGACCTACCCGAGCGCCGCAGAAGCCTCCGTGGACCAGCAGAGGACCCAGTACATCAGCCGCCGCCGGGGCTGCCCTGCAGGCCTCTCTGCCCCGGGGCCTGCCCCCACCCCGCCCCAGGCTGAGGCTGGCAGCGTGGGCGTGGACTGCTGCCCCTGCGGTCCTCCCGACGGTCCTGGAGCCCTGGAGGCTGGGGCTGAGGGACGCTGGCTGCCCGGGTTTCACCCCCGAGACAGAGCTGAGCGCGTGAGGAACTGCACCGCCCTCCCCAGGGAGTTCGTGGACCAGGTGGTTTTGCAAGTGGCAAACCTGTTGTTGGGCGGAGAGCAGTTAAGCCCAGGAAGTCCTCGCGGCGGGAGTCCACAGACCTGGAACCGAGGAGGTAACGCTCTGCGCTCCCAGCCATTGGCGGCATCGGGCAGCGCCGCCCTCCTGTGTGCGGCCGGTGGGGGGTTTGTGTGTGAGACGGCGATGGCAGGCAGGCTGCGTGCGAGCTCAGGCCTGGTTCCCTGGGGGTCCCGCTGGCAGACGGAGAGGCGGGCGGGCCCGTTGGGACACTGGGCCCTCACGGGCCTTCCCAGACCGCCGGTCTGAGGCCTGTCCCAGCAGCACACGGTCACTGGTGCCGGCGGGACTCTGACGAGTGTGGTGGGTTTGTAATTCTCTGGGCGGGAGGGCGTGTGCCTGACTGTCCTCGCAGGAGGGTGCCCTGTCCAGCCAGTGGCGTCCGAGGGCGGGGGGCCCAAGTGTGAGCCCCGATTGTCTTCCTAAAGTTGTTCCCATGGTCACAGGTCCCAGGCTGCTGGGAAGGTTTCCCTGCTGCTCTTGTGCCCGCAGGCATCTTGGACAGCCACCAGGGGGCGCTGTGGAGCTGACTGTCCACCAGCCAGAGTCCTGCCTGAGGTTTGGGGTCATGAGGAAATTGAGGACCCCTCTCCCCCTCAGCCTGTCAGGACGGCCCCCCGGCTGGCCCCACGGGTGGGACAGGCCCGGGAGGAGGGATCCTGGGTCCTCCACCCTCCTGCTCTCCCTCAGCCACGAAGGTTGTCACAGTCGAGTGTCTCCATCCTTTCACTCCCTCCCGTCTCGTGTCCTCGTGACGCAGCACCCCCCCCCCCCACACCCCCCGTTGAGCATGTCCCCTCTCCAGAGTCACCGCCCCTCCTGGTGTCTGATCAGGACCCCGGCAGCCCTCGCCAGCGTGGCCTGGCCCAGGTGGCTGTGTGGCTGCAGCAGCCCAGGGTGCCACGGGGTGTTCTGTGGGTACAGCCACCTCCTAGGGCAGTGATGGCGAACCTATGACACGCGTGTCAGAGGTGACACGCGAAAGCTAATTTTTTTGGTTGATTTTTCTTTGTTAAATGGCATTTAAACATATAAAATAAATATCAAAAATATAAGTCTTTGTTTTACTATGGTTGCAAATATCAAAAAATTTCTATATGTGACATGGCACCAGAGTTAAGTTAGGGTTTTTCAAAATGCTGACACGCCGAGCTCAAAAGGTTCACCATCACTGAGCTAGGGGTGCCCCACTGAGGGAGCCAGGGTAGAGGAAGGCAAGCTGGGTGGGCCCAGAGCCCCAGTGCACTGAAGACGGGAGTTGGACCTTCGTTCCAGGATGGCGCTTCCCTTGGGGGTCCTTCGGGAACCTGGGGGTGCCTCCTAGTGAGCAGGACAGGCTCTCTCCCAGCCCAGGAGGAGGGGGGCTCTAGTTATCACTCCTCAGCCCCCCCCCCCCCGGAGATGTCTGGGAGCCGGGGAGCCATGCTCCCCAGGGCTGTCTGAGGCTTCAGCTCCCTGTCGGCTGGGGAACATGCTCCCGTGAGGGGGAGCCTGACCTTGGCCTCAGCCTCCAGCCCCCCCACAGGCAGCCTTGCTCTCCTGGTCACTGGGATTAGTGACGGCCAGCCCGCCCCAGGCCTGGGCCCTCCATGCCTGCACTCTGTGACATGAGTGGTCTGTCCCAGGACCTACCTGGTGCAGGCCTGGGGCTCCCCCTGCAGGCCTGGCTGAGGGGCACGTGGGAGCTGGGGCAGGACTCAGTGGGAGGGACGAGGGCGGCAGAGTGGAGCTGCGTGGCCGGGGCCGGGCTGCATGTGAGGGTCAGCGCGGGGAGCTCATGGGGCAGAGCCGGGAGGTGGGGGCTTTCCGGGCCAGTGTTCCATTCCCCGTGGGTTCCCGCGTTCTCCGGGCGGGTGGAGGCCGGTGAGAGTGAGGCTTCGCAGGTGGGGTTATCGCCGCTGCTGACCTTGTCGGGAGGCTCGGCTCCTGGGCTCAGCTGCAGGGCAGGGCCTGACGGGCAGCACAGGGTGGGCCTGGTGGGGAGCACAGGGTGGGCCTGCGGGCAGCCAGCTCTGGCAGCACGGGGCGGCCCTGCCACTAGTTCAGCAGGGGTGTAGACTAAAGCACGTTAAGTCTAAGCATCTGTGGTCCCTGCTGACGTGCGTGAGGGATTTGAGTTCACGGGAGGCTGGTTCTGTGCCCATGGGACAGGGACAGGGTGTGATGGCCCTTTCCTGTCGTTGGGGGACCCCTTTTCAATAGCGAGCCTTTCCCTGGCGGAGGTCGCGGGCCAGCTGGACCAGGAGACCCTGCGGAGGCTGAAGCGGGAGTGCGGCGGCCTGCAGACGCTGCTGCGGAACAACCACCAGGTGTTCGCAGGTGAGCAGCCGTGCCTCCCGCCCTGCCAGGCTCACCCCGCTCCTCCCGCGTGGCTATGGCCTGCCGCTCGTCTCTGTGGGCTGTCTCCTCCCCAAAGCCACCTGCCCCGCCCGGTCCTGCCTCCTCCAGGCCCCAAGTCCCCAGGTCCCCAGGTGCTTCTGTCACACGTCCTCCTGCACTTGTCACACCCCCACCCCAGCGAGGCCATGAGCTCCCTGCAGGCGGGGCCGCCGGGCCCCACGGCTGTGGTGCTGCAGGAGGAGGCTGAGTGTCCCGGAGGGGGCACACCCACCCGACCCCTCCCCCCTGGGTCGCCCACAAGGCACCATCTCGGGGGCGAGCTGTCCCGTGTGTGCTGTGCTGGAGGCTGCAGGCCAGGGTGAAGGCCTCTGTCCTGTGCCCAGGACCTGGCGGAGGAGGCTGCCCCCTCCGGGCGGGTCCCACAGCAGGACAGGCGCCTCAGGCGGGGTCTGTGGGAAGGAGGTGACAGGGGCCTTTCCAGAGTGAGGGAGGCCGGGTTGGAGTTTGTCCACGGGTGCTGGCCCGTGCCAGGCCCAGCTGGGTGCACATGCTGGGCCCAAAGGTCTTGGTCTCACTGGGGTAGATGCTGCCCCTCGGGCTGGGAGGAGCCGGAGGAGGCCCCTGAGCTGGCCGTCCTGCCCCACTGAGCTGGCTCGGCTGCCTGGGATCGCTCTGCGTTTCGCAAGCTCAGTCCGGGAGGCTCGCTGAAGCCCTTCTCTGTGTCCCACGCGTTTTTCTGTTTGGTTTCATGAACAGCATCTTTTTTCCGTTAGAAGCACGCATGCGTCTGACTGCTGTCATGTGCAGTGTACGTGGGGGGCGCTTTTATTTTTGGAAACGCTTCTGAGTAGGAGGCCGGGGTGGAGTTGGAGCAGGCAGCCATGCGTCATGCGAGAGCTATGCCTGAGCCGGTCTGTGTGCGGGCTGCTGAGCTGTGCTCTCCATCACGTGTGCGGACGGAGGTGTCCGCCTTGGTGCCAGGTGCCAGGGCTGTGACACGGAGGGCCGTGCAGGTGTGAGGGTGGTGCCCACTCCATCCCTGAGCCCCCATGGCCGGTGCACATTGGTCAGCACGCAGTCAGGACGCTGTGGCGGGAGCGTGGAGCCGGCCCTGGGGGCGGTCGGCATGCGGGGCTCAGTGCTGCGCTCGTGGCCTTGAAGGTGCCCGTGCAGCTCAGAGACGGGGACGTGCCGAGGCTCTAAGAGGGGCGGGCGGGACTGGCAGCCCAGGTCCAGACGGACCAGAGCCCGGGCTCCTGCGCACGCACGTCCGGGAGCTGTCCGCAGGGCTCTCCCGGGGACCTTCAGCCCCACCCTCCGCGCTCGGGTTAAGGTAATGTCTGGTCAGAAACGGCGGAGGCGGCGCACAGCAGCTTTTCTGTGCTAGTCAGGCTCGGGGCTCACACACGAGGGAGGAAACGTTCAGAAATGTCGGGGCCCGTCCTCAGAGTGCGGGGCCCATCCTCGGGGTGGGGGGCAGTATGCTGCATCCCGCCAGCCTCAGCTGCCCCCATCCCGCTCCCGCTGTCGTCAGCGCCCTCTCCCCAGGCCTTGGAAGTCCTGGCTGGCCCTGGCCCCGAGGGTCCTCTTCACTGCCCTGCAGGCCTGACCTCTGCAGGCTGCTCCATGCCCGGCTTCGGCCCCTGTGGCCACCCCACATTTCTCGTGAGCCTGTCCAGGCCAGAGGGGCTCCTCACCTTTTTGAGGTGCACACCCTGGGGGTCTGGGAGTCTTGCCTCCACACACACCCAAGGGGTCCCGCTCCCACGGGCGGGCATGTCATGTTGTGCGGCACCGGGAGGTATGCTATGGACACGGTGACGTTTCCTTGACGGGAGCTTTCAGGGGAAGAAGGCCAAGGTCAGAGTCCTGGGGAGGCCCGAGCGCCGGCCACAGGAGGCACCCCTTCGCGGCGGGAGGGAGTCCCCTCTGCCTCCTTGCCTGGGCTCCCCAGTGGGCGTCTGTGCAGAGCGAAGTCGAGCTGGAACTCAGTGCAGGTCTCAGGGCCAAGGGCCAGGCTTTCTCAACAGCCCTGCACCTCCCAGCCCGTCGCCGGGTGCAGCTTCCAGGGGAACCGGGACTCACTTGGCTGCTTGGCCTCGTTTCGAGCGGCGTTTCTGCTGAGCTCACGGTTCTTGGAGGAAACGGCCATGTGCAAGCTGGGGTCTCGGCTGTGTGGGGGTGTAGGGCACCAGCTCAGGAGGTCCCCCTGGCGGCACAGGGCCCTCCCACCCGCTCCCATCTGCAGCCCCACCCCTGCTGACTGCTGGGAGCGGCACCCTCATTCACCTTGGGGGGCTCTGGCTGCAGGGCCCTGCGGCTGCCTTCTGCCCGCTGGGAAGGCCCGCCAGCTGCGGCGCTGGCTTTCTCCTTTCCATATGGACGGGTGAGCCTGGAGGACCCGGGTCCTGCACGCTACGGCGGTCACAACGCTTACGCCGTCACACCGGGCCTCAGCCTGGTCCCCTGCAAGCCCGTCCCCCATCCTGCCCCACCGTCCCTTCTCCCATCACCGCGTGAGATCTCAGCCCTTGTCCCTCTGGGCGCTGGCGGGCCGGGCTCTGTGGGAGCTCTGGGCTCAGGTGAGTTGAGGGACTTGCCTGTTGACTTCCCGGCTGTGTCTGTTCAAACCGCAGTTCTGAACGGGCGAGTGCACTTTCGAGACTGGAGGGAAGAGAAGCTGCAGGAGGAGAAGCAACCGGAAGCCAGGTTCTATTCCGGTCAAGGGCATGTATCTTGGTTGCGGGCACATCCCCAGTGGGGAATGTGCAGGAGGCAGCTGATCGATGTTTCTCTCTCATCGATGTTTCTAACTCTCTATTCCTCTCCCTTCCTCTCTGTAAAAAAATCAATAAAATATATTTAAATAAATAAAAAAAAATGAGTCTGCAGGATAGAAAAGTCCAACTTAAGACTCGCTGCCCACATATGCTGGTC